AAAAATAGTCCACTAAGTTGTCACTTTAATTAAAATTTGTACAAAAACCAACAGTGTACTAAAAGTGATTGTCATTTTTAGTACATTATATTGGCTAATGTACGATTTTTTATGACAAGTGACAACTTAGTAAAAATAAAAATTAGCCGCGTTATATATGAATAAGATATGAACTTTTAAATTGACGGTCGTGCCTGTCTCCATTGGACATTTTTATTTTTTAGATCTATATTCTTATGTTACACACTACATACACCTCATGGAAATAAATCTAATTAATATTTATAATATATAAGGGGAAAATCACAATTATGGTTTACTAACTTGTGTTCTTTCTTATTTTTGTCAAATATGGCCAAACTTTGGTCAACCAACTCTTTATTTTTAGTCAGTTTGGTCTAATCTCAATATCATCGGTAGAGATGTTAAACGGTCCTTGATCCAACGGGTCGGCCCGTTTAGTCCGAAAAAAAAAAGGATTAGAGCCTTTTTTTAGTAGCCCGTTTAAATCAGGGCTTTTTAGGCTCGAACCGTTTAAACTGAAGCCCGATAAGGCTAGCCCGAAGCCCGCTAGGGCTAGCCCGTTTAATTTGTATATTACAACTTCACTATTCTACTTTATATGTAACTATGAGCTGTAGCGGGTTATTATGATTTTGAAAGATAATTATTAACTATTTTGTTATTCTACTTCACACCAAATTATTTAAGTCAATTAGAACGACTAATGAAAAATACATGAGACAAAGACCTAATACATAAAACATAGTGATAGAATATAAATTCAACAGTTAGATACAATATCGTGAAAATTTCCAAAGCGTAAAAAAATAAGTAGTAAAATAGTAATTATAAGTAATAGTTCGAATATTTTTTTTTCTTTTGGTAAAAACATGTCACTTAAGAGTTTGTAATGAATGGTCATACATGAAATGTAGTTGTATATATATAGAGCGGTAAATACTAAATAGCCGTTGAAAACAATCGTGAATTAGCCGTTGTAATTTTTATTTATATGTTTATTTATATATTATTATTATTATAGCCCGTTTAGCACGAAGCCCGCTAGGGTTAGGGTTAGGTCCTTTTATTAGTAACCCATTTAAATCCGGGCTTTTTAGGCCCGACTCGTTTAGCCCGAAACCTGTTAGGGCTAACCCGAAATCACCAAAGCTAGCCCGTTTAACATCTAGCCGAAAGCCGATCAAAATTTATTGAGCTACCACAATTGAACGTAGACTAATATGACGTGTACAACTTCTCGTCCAAATAAATGAGCTAGCTACTCCTTTGCTACATAAGAGGTGGGATATTTAAAAATTAATGAAAATAAAAAAAAAAAAATAATAAAGAAAGAAAAAAGTGGTAAAATTGCTATAATTGTTCTTGTGACAACTTTACATAAAAGTGGTAATAAATTTAAATACCAATGTGCCCTTATATGTTTAATATCCCGCAAGCTTTGCATGCACATTGTGCAAGTGAAGCTTGGACTGTAGATGGAAAAATAGAGGTCTTGATAATGTTTTTGTGAACAAATATGAATGCTGCTCTTTGATGGGTATATAGTTCAATATCATAGTCTTTTGTGCTACTTTCTCCCAGATGAGATGGAAGTCTATATGAATGTGCTTGGTCATATCATGAAATAGCAGATTTTGTAATATTGTCATGGCATACTTGCTATTTGTGTATATGACAACTGTATAAGAGTGAGTAATGCTAAACTCATTTAATCGGTACAGAATCTATGGAACCTCACAAACTGTAGAGGCCATGAATCTGTATTCTCCTTCAGCAGAGGATCTGCTCACTATTGATTGTTTATTAGATTTTCAAGAGATGAGAGATTACTAATAAAGATTGCATAACCTGTAACGCCTTTTCTTATATCTAGACAACCAACAATATTAGAGTCACAAAATGCATTGAGAGTTAAAGTAGAATGTCTAGAGAATAAAATGCCTTGGCCACCAGTGCCCTTAATTTATCTTAGTACTTTATGTGCGACAGATAAATGAATGCTTGATGGTTTAGAAATGAATTGACTTGAAGTTTGAACACTATATGTAATATCATGTCTAAAAATAGTCAAGTATAATAGTCTACCAATAAGTCTCATATATTCGGAGACATCGGTTAAATTATCTTTATCTGTTGCAGCTATAAATTTTTTAGTTGGGTTCATAGGGGTTAGAAAAGGTTTGTAACCTAAAAAACCTGTGTCACTAAGAATATCAAGTGTATGTTTCTTTGACACGTGTTTATACCCTTGTTCGAATGTGAAAATTCTAGGCCAAATATGTACTTAAGAGTACCTAAGTCTATTTTATTAAAACATGAGTGCAAATGTTGTTTAATGTCAGTAATTTGTTCAAGATTGTTTCCAACAATAATAATGATGGAGACGAGACCGCGATTTCGTTTCTAAATAAATATGATAGCCTTCGTATTTAGATTATTTATTTCCTATTAGTATTGTTCCCTTTTATTTTATTACCTTAGTTATTTTATTATAGATAGTAAGTAAATAAATATCTAGCCTAGCTTGTTGGCAAGATAAGTAGGACTCTATATATTTATCTCATCTCTACCGTAGTCAGATGGTTGAATTTGAAGAAGATTTCTGATATTTGAGTTTTGTGTTTTATCGAGAGAGTATCTCGTTTTATTATTCTCATTCGTTCACGCTTCCCTACATCAGTTGGTATCAGCAGTCAGTACGATTCGATTCAACGATGCCGCCCAAAAAAGATGCCGCAAACGATCAACGGGACGCAGTCTTCAACGACCGGTTTCAACAAATTGACGATCGGTTTGTGCAGTTGGAGGAACGTTTCATGGAACGATTTGAGGGTCTTTATTCGGGGATCGTAGATCTACGTTTGGCGCTTAACAACGTGGTCCGGGAATTGCAAACGAGCCGTGACGCCGGCGACCGGGGTGTGCACGGGGGGTTTCGCGGGGGTCGTGGTGGTCGTGGTCCAGGCGGGGCGCCCCGCCGGCGATCGCCACAACCGCCGTCCGGCGAGGACGACGACGAGGACACCATCTCCGTGGTTAACCCATTTGCGGAGTTGCAGCAACCCCGTGACAACAAGGACGACTTCAACGGGCATGGTGGTCGGGGCGGTCGACGCGGCGACCAGGAAATCGCCGGTGGAGATCGTAACTGCGGGCCTGGGGTTTCGGCCGCGACGGTGCAGGCCTTTGATGGTTTCGGCGCGATTAGCCCGATGGTGACTATCAGCAACCTCGAGGGGGCCGACGCGACGAACAGGGTTTTAGCGGTGGCGACGATCGTGCCGGCGTGGTCCTCGGTGATCAGCACCGTCGCGACCGTGCGGATGACCAGCGACGTCGCGACTGGGACCTGGACGGCGACGGGCATGCCTTTGACGGTGGCGGACGACAGCGGCGTGGCTGGGACTTTTCGGAGGATGACGAGCAGCAGCGCGACTTCCGTCGGGGTGACGTGTACCATGGGCTGCAGCGGCGTCCTTTTTTTCGAGGGATGGAGGCCGGCGGAGACTCACGCTAGGAGCAAGGTTTTCGGGTCGAGATTCCCGAGTTCTCGAGTGGGCTTGATGCTGCGAATTTTCTGGATTGGTGGGCTTCCGTCGAGTCTGTGTTCGAATATAAGGTTGTGCCGGATGATCGACATGTCGCGCTTGTAGCTACACGGCTTCGTGGGCGTGCGGCGGCTTGGTGGTTGCAACTCAAGAGTTCGCGTCATCGTTAGGGCAAGCCGAAGATCACGACTTGGATTAAATTTCGTAAGCACTTGGAACGTGAATTTTTGCCTTTTAATTATGCTCGTTCAATTTATCAGCAATTTCAGAATTTACGGCAAGGGGCACGTTCCGTTGTTGAGTATACGGAGGAATTTTATCGCCTTTTGACTCGTGTAGAGGTTCGGAAGACGACCGACCAATTAGTGTCGAGATATGTGGGCGGCTTACGTGTTGTCATCCAGGATACACTAAATATGATTATTCCCGACACAGTTTCTGATGCACATCAACGGGCTTTGATGATCGAACAGCAACTAGCTCGAAAGGCCGGCTCGTCTTTTGGGCCCTCTACCAAAGGGGTGAATGGGACTGCGGCTCCGGCACCGACTCCGCCGACTCTTCCACCAGGTGTCGGCATGGCTTCGGACGGGCGTGAAGTTGGCCCCTCGCCTGGGGGCAGGCTTCGCTGCTTTGCTTGCGGTGAACCGAGACATCGCCAAGCGCAATGCACCAAGGCGAAAGGGTCACGGGCTTTGTTGATTGAGGAATCTGGGTCAGGCGAGTATGATGGCCCTCCTGTTTTTGATAAGGAGCCGGAGGTGCCCGTGGTTCATGTTTCGGGGGACGTCGGTACTGCATTGGTCCTTCTTCGCTCTCTCTTGTCGCCCCACTTATCTCCCGAGATTGAGAGCTTACGACATCAGCTGTTTGAGTCCACGTGCACCATTGGTGGCAGTGTGTGTCGTTTTGTGATTGATTCTGGTGTCAGCGACAATGTGATCTCTAAGGAGGCAGTAGCCAAGCTTGGGTTGTTGACTGAGCCACATTCGCATCCTTACTCTCTTGTGTGGATACAACAGGCTAATACTGTTGATGTCAATAGTCGTGTGTTGGTGTCTTTTTCTGTTGGTTCCACCTATAAGGATGAGGTTTGGTGTGATGTAGTGCCTATGGATGATTGGCATCTCTTATTAGGCCGTCCTTGGCAGTTTGATAGGTCGGTGCTTTACAATGGTCGGCTTAACACCTATGAGTTTTTACATGAAGGCTTCCGCATTGTTTTACACCCCTCGGCTCATAGTGGGTTCCCTTTGTCACGAGGGTCACCGGCATTATTCATTTCTCGCTCCGGGCCGTGTGCGGAGTTTTGTGGGTCGTTGGATGATCGGT